CTCTACCTCTTGAGCCACACCGCCATTTCCGGCATTTTTCTTTTTGCTTATGTGGTGCTGAGGAATCAAACCCAGGGCCTCAGGCATGCAAGGCAAGCACTCTACCACTGAGCCACCTTCCCAGCCCTAGTTCACTTTCAATATAGTGTCTAGTGAGTACCCCTGCTGCATTTGTTCACACTTTGCTAAAATGGATTTTTTAAAAGCTAACATATACATTTTAGAGAGCCAAATTAATCCACATACATATATATGTCTATATGATACAAATGGCCACTTCTGGTTTTTGAGCGTTTCATTGGAGATAAGAGTCTCAAGGGAACGTTTCTGCCTGGGCTAGCCTCAAACCGCAATCCTCAGATCTCAGCCTCCTGAGCAGATAGGATTACAGATGTGAGCCACTGGCACCCAGCTGAATAGAAAAGTAGATTCTTATTCCAAATAAACTGAGTTCATGATTGGGCAAAGCACAGAATAAGGAAGACAATGACACATGTTTCAGACAGTATTTTTCTGCTCTAAATCTCATAAACAGGTCACATCTCTAAGTAGATAGGAAACACCGTAAATCAGTTGACCACTGACACTAATGTGAGGAGATATTTCAAGTCACAAATAAGTATTTGAAGATGGCTGCTGTACTCACACATGGCTGGTAATCGAAAGGTGGAATGTAATCTTCAGAGTATGTGGTCAGTGACGACCTAAGAGGGAGAAGTCAATATGTGAGGAAAGAATCACCCTAAAAAGTGTGGTATATATTTTATATTTATATATGTTATGTGTAACAGAAGCATTTCAGGAAGGGCTTGCCCTAATAAAATATGTAAATCCTTTTTATACTGTTTCTCACTACCAGCAGGTACCTCTCCCTCCTTCAATTACTTTTCTATCTAATTCTACATAACTCTCTTCTCTCCCCTACAAATGATTGTGTGTGGCTGCCATTCATGTCCCATACCCTGAGCGCCGGTACTCTGCACTCCAGACATTCTCTTTATCACCCTCTTCCTGCCCCTGAAATCTTTTGGCCATAAGTCTGTGCCGGATGACAGGGAAGAGATAGTAGAAGATGACAGGGCAGGCTGAGATCAGATTCCCCAACCCTCAACTCAGTTAAAGCCACAGAAATGCTGGGTGACACACACACACACACACACACACACACACACACACACACACCACATCTTACATAATTTACAAGCCTAGCCTGGCTCAAAAGGGAAACCTTGAGGTACTGAAAATGCAAAGGATGCTCGCTATAGTAGGAAGACATAAATGTGGATCTCCTGAGCCTCCAGCACAAGAAAATGGCCTGAGGCTCTTTACTTCCCCATAAGAGACCAGACCAGAGAAACTGGCAAGGAAGTTTCCCTCGACTTGGGAATAAATATTCTCCTGCCAGAAATTAAGCCTTACTGCCATTCCTCACAAACTTCTCAAGAATTCTTTCTTGAGAAATTCTCAAGAATTTTCTCTCTCTCTTTCTGTCTGTCTGTCTGTCTCTCTCTCTCCTTTTCTCTCTCTCTTTCATTTTTTTCCTGTGCTGGACCTGGGGCTTGAACTCAGGGTTTGCGTGCTCTCCCTGAGCTAGCACTTTACCACGTGGCCCACAGTTCCACTTTCAAGAATCCCAACTAACCAGTGCTAGTATTTAACCGGGTGGTATCAACCAATTCCTGCCAGCAACCCAGGTGTGGTTTCCAGAGTAACATCAGCAAGCTGGGGACTTGATAGACATGTACATATTCATTCTTAGGGAGCTTGGTCCCAGAACCTTAGAAAACAACAGAAAGTAGTATCTGTCTATGCTCGAGTCCCATATGCAGAATAATGTAGGCCTTTTGCAGATCCCAGTACAACCTCCCAGGTTGTACTGTAAGTCATCTACAGGTCATTTGTAATACGTACTACTTCTAATAACCTAACAGTATTATATGCTATTGTGTATGATAGTTTTTATACTTTATCATGTATAAAATATGATAAGAAACAGACACTTCTGTTTTTTTCCATCTGTGGCTGATGGAATCCACAGATGGGAAACTCATCAATACTCCTGAATAAGGAGCTGGTTGGGGCTCAGCTTGTTGTTCTATAACTGTCTCCCAGGTGCTCACGATGCACACGAGAGTGCCAGTACTCATGAGCAAAGGGACAAACATTGAAAATGTTACTTTCCAACCAGTAAATGGTAATTTTAAAAAAAGACAGAGGGTAATCTCTTTAAAAGAAGGGAAGGAGCTGGGCACTGGTGGCTCACGCCTGTAATCTTAGCTACTCAGGAGGCTGAGTTCTGAGGAGCACAGTTCATAGCTAGCCTGGATCAGATAGAACATGAGACTCTTATTTCCAATTATCCACCCAAAAGCAGGAAGTGGAACTATGGTCCAGGTGGTAGAGTGCTAGCTCAAAGACAGCGCCCAGACCCTGAGTTCAAGCCTCAGGACAAGCAAAAGGAAGGAAGGAAAGAAAGACAGACAGACAGAAAGAAAGAAAAAAGAAAGAAAGAAAGACAGAAAGAAAGAAAGGAAGGAAGGAAGGAAGAAAGGAGGGAGGGAGGGAGGGAAGGAAGGAAGAAGGAAGGAAGGAAGGAAGAAAAGAGAGAAGAAGGAAAGAAGGAAGAAAGAAAGAGAGAGAAAGAAAGAAAGAGAGAGAGAGAAAGAAAGAGAGAGAGAAAAAAGAGAAAGGAAGGAAGGGAAGGAGGAAGGAAAGGAGGGAGAAAGGAAAGAAGAAAGGGAGAACAGGAGGAAGGAAGGAAGTGAAGAAAGGAGGAAGGAAGGGAGAAAGGGAGGGGGAGGCGAGAAAAAAGAATAGGAAAAGCTATTTCTGCTCCCAAGATAAATGAAAATCATGAAATTAACATTTTAGCCATCACAATAAAAGAGCTGAAAATTTTGCAATGATGAGCTTAATTTGAGCATCAAACATTTTCAAATAAAACTCAAAAGTAATAACTTATGTGTTGTTATATTTTTATTTTATAATACTATTATTTTATAATAATACTATCTTCAGTTTTATAATAATATTTTACTATAGATATCATTAGTGAGTGAAGAGGATATTTTCTTATATTAATAGCATCTATGAGAGACTTTGAGTCAAAAAAAGACCACAGAGATAATTACCAAGATCTTTAATAATGCTATAATAATTCATAGACTATATAAGGCAGAAACAGAATCCCAAAGATGGAATGATAACTTCTTAGTCACGAAGGGAGAAAACAAACCCTTCCTCCACCCGTTAGCTCCTCAAATCCAAATTGCTATATGTAGCCTGTGAAACGATGCTGATACTGTTGCCCAGAAGGAGAGGTGAATACGAACATTTGTGGGAGGCCACTGATTTGGACTGAGCTCTTGGCTAAGCCAGCAAACCATAGCAAAAGAGGGCTTCTTCCAGGACGACAGGATGTTTATCTGACCTTTCAAGGAATCAGGTGGGAGACAAAAGGGCCAAGTCCCCAAACAAGCCAGTCCAATCTTAGCCTCAGTGATGAGAAAGTCCTCTCTGCATTAACCTTTTCAAGGAAAATAACAAAAATGACACCTGCTTTTTGTTCTGTTTCTGCTTTCTTCAACATTTTCTGTCTATGAAACCAACTTTCTCTGCCCAGCTCAGCTCATTGGAACGTGTGTGTGTGTGTATGTGTGAACTCAAGGCCTGGATACTGCCCTTCGTTTTCTTACTCAAGGCTAGCCCTCTAGCAACAAGACACAGCTCTACTTCCAGCTTTTGGGCAGTTAATTGGAACTAAGTCTTACAGACTTTCCTCCTGCTGCTGCTGGCTTTGGACCTTGATCCTCAGATCTCAGACTCCTGAATAGCTAGGATTACAGGCTTGAGCCATCAGTGCCCAACTTGGGACATTCAATTCATTTTTTAAGATGAGGTATTGCTCCATTCGGTAATTGCAAATAAATGCCGATTCAATTCTTTCAATTGTTTTATCTTTGATGCTAGAAGCCACTATGTACATACAAGCAGGCAAAGTCATCAGTAGAACTCAATCAAGGCTCATGCTGCAACCGAGTTGGGCAGGGATCATATTAGAGAGGAGTGGGGCTGGGAAGGTGGCTCAGTGGTAGAGTGCTTGCCTTGCATGCATGAGGCCCTGCGCTCGATTCCTCAGCATCACATAAGCAGAAAAAGCCGGACGTGGCGTTGTAGCTCAAGTGGTAGAGCGCTGGACAGCGCCCAGGCCCAGAGTTCAGGTCCCATGATAGAGAGAGAGAGAGGTGGATGGAACACAGAAGACACAACTTCCAGAGAGAACCTCACTGCAAATAGATCCAAGATGAAAAGATCTGAATCACGGCTTTCCATATATGAAGCGCCAGAATGGCAGATTGGAAAAGCACTGCTTGTGGAAGAGAAAGACAGCTAGAAAGATAAAGAAAAATAAGAAACTACACACCAGAAACGGAGGCTCCTGGAGCACTAAGATAGTACCTTAACATGGACCTGCTTCTCACCCCATCCCCAGTGGCTTGAATTAAACTTCACTTCAGTGTTCTAACAGAAGAGGGCGCTCTTTAATTAAGATACTGAGCAAAATCCCCAAACTTGTTTGGCTAGGTAGAACTACCTATAATTGTTGCTTGTCTAAGAATATCCACCCTACTTGAATTTAGCAGAAATCAGTAACATTATTGTGAGAGGAACAACAAATGAGAATCAAAATTAAGCTCATGAAAATTCTCTCCCCAGAAATATTACCAAGCAAGGACAGAACCCTCCTGACTTAAGTATACACTAAGATCCTAGTAAATGCAATTTAAAAATAAGCGTAAGTGTAATAATTGGGATAGAGGAAACAAAAGTTTCCATATTTTGCCAATGAGAAGATTGTCTAAATTTTTTAAAAAATCCAAAGCAGCTACAAAGCATAATAACTAAGAAGGTTTCCACAGGGTTGTTGGATACAAGATCATTATACAAAACAACACATCTAGATATCAAAATTAGAAAGTACAAAGTGGAAAAAAATCTTATAACAATAACAAAATCTCTAAGAATATATACAACAGAAATTACACATGATGTTTATAGGGAAAACATAAAATGTATTAAAGGATATAAAACAATTAATTCCTCTCTTTGCAGATGATAAGAGCAATTATTTCATCTCACAAATTCAATGCCCTTCTGATCCAAATACAAACAAGGAACCTAAGAAACAGTCTTAAGGACAAAAAGTCACGGGGCTACATAAACTGTCAAAGAGAGTTGAAATAACTTTGGAAACAAGGGGGAAATTAGTTAAACTTACTCTATACAACAGCAAAGGTAACCAGGTATGGTGGCTCAAGCGTGTAATCATAGCTACTTGGACGACAGAGATTAGGGGATTGAAGTTTGAGAGATCAGCCCACACACACATACACACATACACACATACACACAATACACAAATGTTCAAGAGACTCCATCTCAATCAATTGCTGGGTACAGTGGATGAACCTGTTATCCCAAGCTGTAGGAGAAGCACAATGCCTGGGTGAGGTGTCACATGCCCAGCACCTTAGTGACATAGGGAAGCACACACAGAAGAAGCGTGGTCCAAGTCAGCCTGGGCATAAAATAAGACCTCAGCACTTACCAATCTCAGAAGTGGCTGGTAGAGTGACTTGTGATAATTTGTTTAATATGCGAGGTCATGAATACAAATTCTAATACCATCACCAAAAGAAGAAGA